CCCCAAAACCCCAAAACCCCAAAACCCCAAAACCCCAAAACCCCTATTCCAATGGCTCATGTTGAAACACTTGTTGTTCTACTTATTCTTTCTATAATAGATTTCTTCTGCTTCCTCTTGCTCAATATCGCTATCGTCTGTGTTTGATTCACGGAGTAGGAACTTTTTGATAATAAAGATGAATATCATTCCAAAGAATAGCCCACCTATAAAGTCAAAAAATAGCTTACCAAGAAGGATTACTGAGATAATAATAAACTTTTTCTCGAAATTTGTGTAGTTTCCATAACCTAGTCTCACAAAAGCTCCCTCAAAATGACTTTGAAAATTGTACAGAAAATGTAGCCCCTGCTGAAACTTGATGCTGTAATAAGACATCTCAGCTGGCACAGCCTGGATATCACTTGAGTGTTTCTTGTACCCCTTACGAATGAAGAATCTTAAGCTATTATATCCATTTGGTCCGTGATATTTGTACATGTGGGTCTAAAGAATATTCTGAATTTTCTACCTTAACATAAGCATCTTTGTCTATACAAGTTTTATAAAGGAACTTTACCTTCATTGTGTTTGAAAAAGACAAGATTACGTTGCTTTGCAGGTAGCCCAAGTCTCCAAAGAGTATTGGGAACATCTTCTACCTTAGCTCTGCCTATTTTAGCATCCTTGAGATTGATATAGCTGACAAGAGTCTCAAGTTCTTCATTTATAATTTTGCAGTATTTATCACCGGTATCGAAAAGAACAAGCCAGTTATACTGTTTGCCAGGATTGCCATCTTCAGTTTCTAAAATATGAGTGGAAAGTTACCAGGAGGGTTGAAAATTTCCTCAAAATTATCATCTGTAAGGGTGTAAACTTTCTGTTTTTCTACAGGTTTGTATTCTTCATCATCAATATCATCTTCTTCCTCATCTAGCATCTCCTTCGTATACTCATTAGCTTGCATTCTGCTAATAAGTAAGAGGGCTAAGATTAGAATTGTTAAACTGAGAGACCAAGCTCTCTTAGTGAATAACTTCATTAAATTACTGTTACAATTTTATTAAAATTTATAGGGGTTTTGGGGTTTTGGGGTTTTGGGGTTTTGGGGTTTTGGGG